CTCCTGGGCTTGAGTGATCCTTCTGCCTCAGCCTCCCGAGTAGCTGGGACTACAGGCATGCGCCACCATGCCCGGCTAATTTTTTTTATATATATATCAGTTGGCCAATTAATTTCTTTCTATTTATAGTAGAGACGGGGTCTCGCTCTTGCTCAGGCTGGTTTTGAACTCCTGACCTTGAGCAATCCGCCCGCCTCGGCCTCCCAAGAGCTAGGATTACAGGCGTGAGCCACAGCGCCCGGCCGCTTCTGAAGGTTTTTGAGAGGCTTTTAAAATATAGGAGGAGGAAATCATTTAAAAATAAATTATTTGGGCCGGGTGCAGTGGTTCACGCCTATAACCCTAGCACTCTGGGAGGCCGAGGCAGGAGGAGAGGTGACGGTTGCGCAACTCTTTGAACATACTAAATGCCACCGAATTGCGTATTTTCGATGGGTGGATTGTGTGGCATATGAGTTGTATCTCAGTAAAGCTGACGTGTATGTATAGAGAGCTGTTTTATGCATATAAAGCACGGATATAAAAAGCTCTCGCATATATATATAAAAGGGTGCAAACATCAAAAAGTGTGAAAGGCTTCATATTGTATGATTCCACTTATAGGAAGTTTTTCGAAAAAGCTACAGATTGGCAGTTGCCTGGGGGCCAGGGGTGGGATCGGAACAGCCTTTGGGGCTGACGACAGTGTTCTGCGAGGAGATCTTGCCGAGGGTCGCACAACTGTATGAATTAACTAACGCTCTTGCAACTGTGCACACTGAAAGACGGGTGCCTCTTCAGGCGCGTAACTCGTACCCCAGTGAGGCCATTAAACAAACAAAAAAGCTCAGTTGGAAAGAGAACAGACGGCTAGGAAGGCGAGGCAGAGACAGGGAGGTGTTAAAAAGTTTCGGGAGGCCGGGCGCGGTGGCTCACACTTGTAATCTCAGCAGTCTGGGAGGCCGAGGCGGGAGGATCGCTTGAGATCAGGAGTTTGAGACCAGCTCAGGCAGCATATGGAAAAAGTAGCTGGGTGTGGTGGTGCCTGTAGTCCCAGCTCCTCGGGAGGCTGAGGCAGGAGGATCGCTTGAGCCCAGGAGTTCGAGGCTGCAGTGAGCTACGATGACACCACTGCACTCCAGCCTGGGAGACAGAGTGGGACCCCGTCTCTAAAAAAGAAAAGTTCCAGGAGCTCACTGGGGCTGGCCATACCATAGGTGTTTGGTGCCAGGCTCTTTTATTTTATTTTTTTTTGAGACAGGGTCTTGCTCTGTTGCTGATCTCAAACTCCTGGCCTCAAGCAATCCTCCCGCTTTGGGCTCCCAAAGGGCTGGAATCATAGGCGGGAGCCACTGCGCCCAGCTTGTGTTGGGCTTCTTTAAACATTCAGTTTGACGGGGAAATGCCACTGGTTGCAGAAATAACAGCGTCTTCCAGGTGAAATACATCAGTTCCTGGCAAGAAGCGTTGGGCTTTCTGGTCTCCCACAGGCCTCTTGGAAAGACCTTGTTTGACAGGGTCATTGTCCTCCGGAACCTGTCCCGGCAACAAGTGTCACCCAGTGGGGTCTGGGAGAACAGCTCTCTGGCGGGCAGGCCTGTCGGCTGGAGGAGGGGCTGCCCCGACCCCCCAGGGCTCAGGTTAGAGCTCCCAGATATCACACAGATCACGGGTGGTGGCCAGGCTCTCCAGTGTTGGCTGTGACAAATGCCTACCAACTTGGAATGGCTCGCCACACACAGCTATCATCTGGCAGTTCTGAGCACAGAGGTCCAAATGGGCCTTACTGGGCTGACATGAAGGTGTCATTGGGGCCGGTCCCTCCTGGGGCTCCAGGGAGAACCGTCTCCCGCCTTTCCCGGCATCCAGCGGCCACCGAGTCCCCTGGCCCGGGGCCCTTCCTCCCCCACCAGAGCCAGCAGCGCAGCGTCTTCCAGTCTCTGTCCGCCCCTCCCGCCCCTCGTGGGGGCGTCCACCAGGCGTGACTCTGGCCATTTGGGGGCTGGGTCTCTCCATTCTGTGACCACAGGGATCAGCTGCCCATACCTGGGTCCCTTCTTCTGGGACTGCCCCTGGGGTGGGGGGGGCACCTGCTGATTCCTTGTCCTTAATTTCATAGTGTTAATTCCCATCGTTAATAACTTCCATGATTTCATAGTATCAATCGGGCCACTTTATGTACAGCAACTTGAGCTGAAGCTATTTCCTCCCTGGCGAGATCAAAATTCTCTTTGCGGTTGGTCTGGGTTTGGTGGCATGCCCTGCTAGGTGAGCGTTCTGGCCAGGGCGAGAGCTCGGAGGGGACGCACGCAGAGCCGGCTGCGGCTCCCCCGCCAGGCTAAGACAGGACAGGCCACCGCACTGCTATGGGTCAGGCTTCGAGTTTATAATTCTGTCTCCCAGGAAGGCCATCACAAAGCCATCTGCGCCCGGGCACAGAGTATGCCTTCCAAGTTGGGCAGCTCCTTCCCTCTCAGGCTTGTCTGCTCAGGGGCACAAACAGCAGCCCCAGGGCCACACGGGGGACAGGGCAGTTTTGAGGCAGCAGCCTGGTTCTTTGGTCCCCCTCTTGGAGGGGAGCCCAGGGGGCCAGAGGATGGCATTCCAGCACCACCTGCCCCCGGCCCAGATCTTCCCCCGGGTCTTCGGGCCAGAGCAGGCCCTGCCAAGTGAGTTGGGTGGAGGAAGGATTTCCCAGCCCCAGGGAGACACATTGGGACACAGTCGCAAGAGACAGGCCGTCCCCAAAGCCAGAGAGCAAGTCAGCAGCAAAGCTGGGACAGGAGTCCTGGTCTCTTTGGGCTTGTTTGTGCTCAGCCTGGTGCAAAACAGATGGCGATGTTTAACTTTGCTGGGCAAGACCCGCGTGGGGTGCGTGTGTGTGCGTGTGCGCGCGTGTGCACCTTGCGTGGGAAACGAGGGAGCCCTGCCCATCCCATCTCCAAAGTCAAAGTCAGACAGACTTCTTGTTAAAAAAAAAAAAAAGAAAATTAAAATCAATGAAGAAAACTACAAAGAGGAACGCCAAGCCCTCCCCTGCCCAGCCCGGCAGTGACCGTTGTCCCCGTGCCGATGAACACATCCCGCGATCTGTTTGCGAATTACATCCACACGTACGATTCTAGGTGAATGGGGTTTTGTTCTTCAGGGGGCTCATTTTGATGAATGGGCCCCTTGTCAGTAACTCTACATTGCCGTCATCGTTGTTAACGCTTGCTTAATGTTCCATGCTACAGGGTGTGGCCATTTATTCCCTTTTAAATGATTTTGTAATTTATTTAAGTGATTCTCCCTGGATGGGCTTCTGGGGTGTTTCTCTCTCTCTCTTTCTCTCTCTCTCTCTCTCTCTCTCTCTCTCTCTCTCTCTCTCTCTCTCTCTCTCTCTCCTTTCTCGCTCCCTCTCTTTCTTCCTTCTCCCCACCTTTGTAAGCCCTTGGGTGGCCGTGGTTTCCTGCAAACAGGGGTTTGTAATTAGCCTCGCAGTGCTCTCTGCACCACGTGCGCGATTGACTTTTTGACATTCGACTACGACGACCTCCAGAAATGTCCCGTTTCCCGCCAGGAATGCCCATTTCTCCACCCTCCCAGCTACAGTTTTTAAATGCTTGCCAACCTGACAAGTGAGAACAGATCCTCCCTGTTTTGTTGGGTCTCTGGGGCCCCGGGTACAAGCACCCGCCCCCTCAGGTGTCTCTTGGGCGCGTCACCAACGTGTTCTCTGCTGACCTCCCTGCTGAGGTCTCTGTCTCTCCTCGCTTTGTTTGAAGTCTTTATATATGTTCGTTTGAACTCTGCGAATATTTTTCCGAGCGTGTCTTTCGACTTCGCTTACAGTGGCTCTTGCCACAGAGGATTTTCAGTGTTTTTCATACATCAGTGTCTGCCTTTGTTTTGCGTGGCATTCTTCCAGATTTTGAGATTATATATATATATATAAATTAGCTGTATTCTGGACTGGCTGCATGTGCTGCACTTAAATCTTGCACCGTTTGAAATTTAACTTTTTGGTGGGTCTCATGGGGCTGAGTGATTCTGCCTCTGCACCCCCACCCAGGTGACATTGGGCAGTATCTGGGGACATTTGTGGTTGTCACAGCTGGGGAGGGGGCTGCTTCTGGCA